CAGCTGTCCATGCAATGTGCCGTCTCTTTAGGCTCATACCGCACTCTGTCCCACGTCGCTTGCATCTTTTGCCAAACCCAACGAGGTTGCTGCTGCATAATGGCGAGTTAGTGGGGGTAATAGCGGCACATGGCGAATATCGCGAGGACTCATGCGAAGCGTCGATTGGTGTCTCTACGCCTCAAGAGGACTACGGCAATAATGGCGACGACGAAAAGTGGAGAACCAAGAGGTAAAGGCAAAGAGGCGGTGGGTGAACACGTTGGCCGGCTGCAGGCGGGAGCGGTTGCGAGTGGTAGTGATAAGTCAGCAGCGGCACGAGAGCATTTAAGTGACTACACTGCGCCCCAGCTGCTGCCTACCTTCACACACCAACATTCTCTGATTGTAGACCATAGCCAACTGACAAGCTTACAATCTCCCCTTTCCATCAACCACACCTGAAATTTCCCTCGGGCCATTGCCCAGCTGTCAAGACGTTTTCCAATCTCCTCAGCTCGTAAGTACCCCTCCACAACCCCATGGGGACCGATATCACGACGTGGAGGTGGATTTGACTAACACCCCGCAGGATCCACAACCCATTCGCCGGCCGACGTACTTCTCCTTCTGGGGCAGCGTCGGATCTAGACTTCCGCAACTAAGTTCACCAAATCAACAAGAACTTGAATTAAAATCATCATGGCACCACACGCAGAAGAAAGCGTCGGCAACGCGAATGGGTTGGAGGTGAAGGCGGCCCCCAAGGCTCCTTTTGTCGTCAACTCGCCCAATGTCGAGTATACCGAGGACACCATCAAGACAAAGTACACTTACCGCACCACGGACGTCACCAAGAACGCCGACGGCCACTATGTCGCTGTTCCCAAGGAGACCCTTTACGACTTCAAGGTTGACCGCAAAGTCCCCAAGACTGGCGTCATGCTGGTAGGCTGGGGCGGCAACAACGGTACCACGGTCACGGCCGGCATCATTGCTAACAAGCGTAACCTTGTCTGGGAAACCAAAGAGGGTAAGCGCGGTGCCAACTACTATGGCTCCGTCATCATGAGTTCTACTACCAAGCTTGGTGTCGACAGCAAGACCGGCCAAGAGATTCATATCCCGTTCCATGATCTCCTCCCTATGGTCCATCCCAATGACCTTGTTGTTGGCGGATGGGATATCAGTGGCATGAACCTGGCTGACGCCATGGACCGCGCCAAGGTCCTGTCCCCGTCTCTGAAGTCTTTGGTTCGCAAGGAGATGAGCGCTATGAAGCCTCTTCCCAGCATCTACTACCCGGACTTTATCGCCGCCAACCAGGAAGAGCGTGCTGACAACGTCATGGAGGGTACCAAGGCTTCTATGGCCCATGTTGAGCAGATCCGCAAGGACATCCGGTAAGTGCCGTTCTAAACATGACATGATTATCCTTGCTAACATCTCAATAGTGATTTCAAGGCTGCCAACGGGCTCGACAAGGTGATTGTACAGTGGACTGCCAACACTGAGCGCTATGCCGATATCCTGGAGGGCGTCAACGACACTGCGGACAACCTTCTCAAAGCCATTGAATCTGGCCACGAGGAAGTTGCTCCCTCGACTGTCTTCGCCGTCGCCTCGATCCTCGAGGGTGTTCCCTTCATCAACGGCTCTCCTCAAAACACCTTTGTCCCTGGTGCGATTCAGCTCGCTGAGAAGCACAATGCCTTCATTGGTGGTGATGACTTCAAGTCTGGCCAGACCAAGATGAAGTCTGCCCTCGTTGACTTCATGATCAGCGCTGGTATCAAGCTCACCTCGATTGCCTCGTACAACCATCTGGGTAACAACGACGGTATGAACCTCAGCTCTCAGAAGCAGTTCCGTTCCAAGGAGATCTCCAAGTCCAACGTTGTCGACGACATGGTCGCTGCCAACAACGTTCTGTACAAAGATGGAGAGCACCCTGACCACTGCGTCGTCATCAAGTACATGCCTGCTGTTGGAGACGACAAGCGTGCTCTGGACGAGTACTACGCTGAGATCTTCCTTGACGGTCACCAGACCATCAGCTTGTTCAATGTTTGCGAGGACTCCCTTCTGGCTTCGCCTCTGATCATCGATCTCGTGCTCGTCGCCGAGATGATGACCCGTGTACAGTGGAGGGCTCAGGCTGGTGAAGGTAGCGACGCCAAGTTCAACAACTTCCATAGCGTGCTTAGCGTCCTCAGCTACATGCTCAAGGTACGTCAAACATACTGTTATGCCTTTCATTCAACTAACTTATTCCAGGCTCCTCTCACCCCTCCGGGCACTCCAGTCGTCAACGCTCTTGCCAAGCAGCGTGCAGCTCTCACCAACATCTTCCGTGCCTGTGTCGGTCTTGAGCCTGAGAACGACATGACTCTTGAGCACAAGCTCTTCTAGATGTCTAATAACACATGATGGTTACTTGGTATGCACCAGCTGTTTGACTGACTTGACGATTTGCACGGCTAGACGTGCTTGTGATTTGTTTGGCCAACTCTTTACTCTCGTTAAAGCAATATAAAATGTCTTCCCAAAGTTGCTTTATGTCTTTCGTGATATGTGATTGTCGCTAGAAATATTTAACACTAAAGGTCAAAGCCTTCTTTGACCATGTCTGGACACCATCATGACAAGAAAATCGAGTCGACTCCTAATGTCTTCTAACAAACGTTGTAGTTACAGGGCATGTGCACCCGCTTTGATATGAATCTCAAAATTCTTACGCTACAGGCAGGTGTTGATGCTGTTTTAGTCAGGTAGTTGGAAGAGGAAGGAGCGATTGTATTTTTTCGAACCAACCCTCACCTCAAACCATTTACATTTGCCTTGAAACCCGAAACCCACACTCAATAATGCCATCACCGTCTTCAATACAATTCTACTTTTCATCCTCGCCATCAAAGAACAGTGATGGCTTTACTGCAGGGGAAATGCAGTCCGCTCTTGCCCCGGCAGCAGTAGACACAGCAGGTATATGGATAGTACGATATCTCAACACCCCCTATCAGATCATTGCTAACAACTCATAGCCCACATTGGACTACGAAGAAGCCGATATAGGCTCTCTCAAACCTGGTCCATGTAACCTCGCTCTCATGGGCCGTATAGTGAATTTCAACGACCAAATGAGACCTAGCAAGTCACACAAAGCTGCCCAAGGATGCATCAAAGTCATGATTGCAGACAACACAGGGGTACTCACTGTACGCCTCTGGTATGCCGAACCTCGATACAAGCTGAAGCTTGGCCAGCTCGTTGGCATATGGACAGTGCACATTTCCAACTCGTCTGAATTCAACGCACTGGCACCCAGTACGGCACCACTGTTCACGAGTATGTTTCCTGAAGGGGAGAGAAACTGCGATTTTGCGGTATACGAGGGTAGTGATGATGGAGCCAGATTCAAGAGGCCGTATGGCGTGACAGAGAGTAGGGCACTGGCTGGGCTGATGACGTTGAAAAGCTTCATGGATGGCGGGTATGATATTGACGAACCCAAGCTGCTTGTCTGTGTGAGGAGCATTGGAGCAAAAAAGAAATGTACGTCGGAATTCTTCTTATATGCAACTATTTAAAAACTGACCACACTAGACATGAACCGCAACGGCACAACTTCCGAGCTCATCTCCCTGGGCATCTTTGACGACACAGCTGATGGCCTCCTGACTCTGTACTCCTCCATGTGCGACTCAGCATCGCTCTTCACACCTTTCAAGACCATCCTACTCATTTCAAACCCCGGCTGGCGCATCGACAAAATGGCCAAACTTACAATCAAAAGTGGTTCGCGAGTCGACATCGACCCGGACATGGGCGACGCCCGGCGCCTCCGAGCAATGGCACAACGCCTCACAAAGCGGGAACACGTGAACCCTCCCTTCACCATTCCCCAAACCGCAATCCAAGATTTTGAGAACGCAGCTATAAAGGCACTTTACACGCTTGCCGACGTCGACACCGTCGCCCGCTCACTATCTAATTCCAGTAGAAAGGAAAGAATAGTCGGCTACCTCAGCGTCCTCATCACAGGCCTCAACATCGTCACGCCCTTCAAGCGCAACATGCTCATGAGCAACGAGTGCTGCGGTATTCCGCTCTTCGCCAATAGTGTGAATATGAAATGTAAGCACTGTGAAAATGTAGTTACTCTACGTATCAATCCTAGAATCGTGAGTCTTCTTTTTCCTTGTCCTTGACCAAATGAACAAACAGTTAATATTCAAATGTACGCAGCTCGGTCCCATACTAGACGAAACAGGCCAGATCAGCTCGGGCAAACTCATCCTCTCAGACGATTCATGGTGCCAGCTCCTCGGCCGCACGCCCCACCAGCTCGTCGAGACGGATCTTGACGTCCTCGTGTATTTAGAGCAGCGCTTGCTGTTTCTCCGCTTGACCATGGGGTTCGTGCTAGATTTGGAGGATGAGATTGCGAGATTGGCCATTTGGTGTGTTAGGAATTAAACATTATGTCGGTGAACAAGGTACACATGTACTTCTTTTCTCTCTGCATATTCAAGTTCCCGAATGGAGGGGGGGGGGGATGGAAGGGATTCGGAATATCAAGATGAATATATATATATATATATATTTCAGCGTTTAAAAAAAAACAGCCAGCCCAGTTTCAACCCCCCAAAAAAAGGTAGCAGAATTTGGTATATCATCTCTCACTCCCCTATTTCCCATAAAAAAAAGCAAACGAACCACCCCACCCCTAGTAAACAAGACCCCACGATGCCACGCGCAAATGCAAAGTTTGGCCAAAAAAGAACTCCGACATAGATTCATGCTCATACCATGAGGGCGTTGCAAACTTTCTCCTTCTCTAAAAAGAAGAAAGAGAGAGGAGAGATAGATAGAAAGAAAGAATGGAGCCTAAAAAAAAGGTATCATTGACACAGTCAAAAAAACTTATTTCGATTCCAGTGTCTCTCTCTCCTTCTCTCAAGGGGATGCAGAAGACAAAAAAAACTGAACAAAGATTTCCTTCTTCTTCTTCTTCTTCTTTATTGCTCCCCCAGTACACCAGCGAGACCCCGCAGTACATCGCCAACGCCAATGCCCTGAGTCCCCGCTCGCTCTTTCGCCTCTCTATCTCTTTCTTCCAGCCGCTTTGCCGCCGTGCCCAGCACGCGCTCTGCTACACGTTCGGCCGTCTGTCTGTACTGCTCGATTTTGTGGACACCGTCTGCGAAGAGATCGATGTGGGGTTCGAGGGAGTTGGCGAGCGAAGTGAGGTGCGTTTGTAGTGTTGTGGGGGATGTGAATGTGAATGCTGAAGAAGGTGGTTGTGGGGTGGATTGTGGTTGTGATGAGGATTGGAGGACGGAGAGTATGGCGGCTTGGTCGGGGTCGAGGAAGGAGATGTCGATGTCGGATAGTGAGGGTATGGACGTGGGTATTGAAGGTGCGGGGGGTAGAGGCATGGTTTTTGAGGATGAAGCTATGGCTTCCCATGCTGCTTTCTCTTCTTCCAGTCTGCGCTCAAGTTAGTTATGCAACATCTCTTACATCCCGTAGAAACCCGAACATACTGTTTGATTTCTGCTTCTAGTTCCTCTAATGTGGCCTGGTTCTTCTCGTTTTGTGGATTCGGTTTCTTCACCACTGGTGGTAGCGCAGTCTCTTCCTGTATACTTGTCAATTTGGAGCTCCTTGCATAGCAAAATCACCACACATACCCTGCTGAACCAATCTGATAACTCGGGTTTCCCAGCAAAATCGTCGATAAGTTCTTGTTCAATCGCCCGAGCTGGATTCCATTAGTCTCTCCAACTTCAATCTTGCGATTTGTCCCCACATACCAGCCATGATCGCATTCGCATTCTTAACGTTTCCTGAGGGTTTCGTTGGTAGTGCTCGCGATCCGCACCATGTCAGGAGTTGCTTCATTCGCCGTGGTTCAGGCAGACTTTGCTCAATGTACTTGTAAAACTCTCGGACTTCAACTTCGGAATGGGGTAATGCTACAACAGGTATTAGCATGTACTGCTTGCCAGACGCGCTGCCCAATGCATTGGCTTTGTGCATGCACAATCTGTCCAAACTCACCATTCGACTGACCACTATCAATCAGGGAGCTTGCTCTCCTCCCTCGTAAGCCTGTACTGCTTCTTCGGTGTCCATCTTTGTTCCCTTTGCGCATCTCCTTATTCCGCGTAATGACTGGTGTGTCTGCAAAAGGCAGCATGATTCTTTGCGCGTTTGGATCACGCTTCTTCGCATTCTGCAACTCATTGTGCGTGGGTGTTTGCACACCGGGGAACGCGTTTGCTTGTGGTTGCACTTCCGGAGCCGGGGTGGTCTGATTCTTCTTTTCCTTGACTACAGGGGCGGCACTCTTCTTGGTCCGCGGTTTTGCTGCAACAGGCTCCTTGGGTTTTGTCCGCACCTCCAACTGCTCTCTGTCGCCAGAAATACGCGCTGACCTCCGCCTTTTCCCTGAGTCTGATGATTCTGGGTCGACTGCTGCAATCGATTGCTTCTTGCGACGCGCGGGCTGTACAGCCTTCTCCACGGGTAGGGGCTCTGGTTCCGGTACTGGGGGTGCTTTCGTGGTCCTTCGCGACGTGCGACGCGAGAATTGGAAACCGTCATCGTCCTCGTCGTATGCAGCAGCTTTAGCTTTCTTCTTTGGCGCAGCAGTTGGCTTCTTGGTCGTTCCATTTACTTCCGTCCTTGGCCGCTTCTGCACAGGCGGCGCATCGTCATCGTCGAAAGCTTGTTTTGCGCTCCTTCGTCGCGTCGTCGGTCGGTTTGTGGCCATAGGAAGCGATTGCAGCGGGGAGCGCGCGAAGATGGTAGTCATGAGTCCAGTTTCTGCGTCACGGGGTTCGGAGAGTTGGTGTTCGGTCAAAGCGCGTGCATGGGCGCGGCGGACAGGCGAGCTATTGTCGAGTAAAGTTGGGCGCGAGTGAAGGCAATGCGCGTGCGATCCAAGTTATGCTCGTAGTATCAGCAGGGCGTGCGTAATGATTAGGCGGTAACGTGAATATCCTTGGGCGACGGGCGTGGAGGGGAACGGTCGTCACACGGGAGCAAGGAAGTTGGTGTGTGCACCTGCCGCCAGCATCATCAAAACAATGATTTCAGGACTAGCGCGCGCACGTGACCAGCGGGTTAGCGTTCCCCACAGCGCGACAATCAAACATGCATGCAAGTAGGTAATGTAAGTATATGTACATAATATGATATCTATCTAGGATACACCTTATCCACCACAACTCAAGAAAACCTCTTAAAAACGCCCGAGAAAAAGCGACAAACCACGCCGCTGATCCGTATGCTTACATTCCATCATAACCTCGTTACGCCAAGCGCACCACCAGAATGATACTGAATATCCAAGCCTGTCCATGCCTTTTGTGTATGCCTATTCCGGCACACTCTAACGCGATCTATTCTACATGCCAGCGCCAGGCATGGGTCCTTTGACACCTGCAGGCGCCAAGCTACCTTCGATACGGCGCTTGGCATCCTGCTTCTCTTCATGGGTAGGGTTGCTTTTGCGCATGTCCGGAACGTGAGCTGGCCTGTTGGGACTGTGGCCAATGGACATGCCGACGCGGACCTTTCAGAGTGTTAGCAGAATCATCGCAATGTAGAATCTAATGATACTTACAAGAGTCTCAAGGGCAGAGTTGGAGTTTTCCACGAGATCCTCATCATAACGCATTTGACCAGGCTCGAAAAGGAGTAGCAGGGTGCTACCACCAAACTTGAAATAGCCGAGTTCTTCAGCACGCTTGACCTGCTCACCCTTCTTGCGCGTAATAACGGTACTACCAACCATCATGGCGCCTACACAAATAACCATGACACGGCCATGTGCGACAGAGTCAATAGGAACAACGACTCGGACATTTTCACCGTACACGTCCAACGCTGAGCGAATAGCCATTGGGTTAACAGTGTAGTATTCACCTTCAATCGTCTTGGGTTCGTCCAAGACGCCATCGACAGGGATGTGGAAACGATGGTAGTCTTGCGGCGCCAGACGGAAGATGCCGAGTGATCCTCCATGGTAACGCTTTACGTCTTGCGGATAAGCGTCGCCAAGCAGGCGCTCAATGGTAAAGTCACGACCCTTGACCCAGATGGCCTGTGCTGCGTCGATGGTATTGAAAACGACGGTTCGGCAGTCGGAAGGTGACACGATTACCCTTGGGTCATCGGGTGCGGAGCATGGGCGCGCACCTGGCTTCAGTGCGCGGTAGAAGAACTCGTTAAAGTTCTTGAACTGGTCCGTGGGCAACAGAACCTCGGACATGTCTAGTTGATGGAAGTTGATAAAGGGCACAATCTCAGAAGCAGATGCAGGGTCGTCGTATTTTCGTCCCTGCTTGAAGCTGAGAGACTTGAGGAGCTTGCGGACTATTAATGGTTAGCGTTTGTGACTCTATGCGAGAATGAGTAACCTACTTCGCTTCTTTTCCATGTTGTTCGCCTTCAGACCCTTGTAAAGCAGACGAATACCCAGGCGGACATATACGCTCATGCGCTCCTCGTTGATCTGGCCCGTAAGACGATCTTGAACAAGGATATTGGCCGAGTTTGCACCCAATTTGTAGCCACCGTACGAGATCTTGGTGATGACCTTGGAGTACCACTTGCGCTGAGCCTGGCTTGATGTAACAAAGCCAGCCATGACAATGTTGTTTACCTGTCTCCAGTCCTGACTGGCACATGTAGCAATGTGAGTAATGATGTTAGCGTCCGAGCGCTTGTTGAGCTTGGGCTGGTGGCAGATGGGACACTCGCGAATCTCAATGACATGCTCCTCGCCCTTGTCATCCGCCAGGTCGTCAATCTCGATATCAGCTCCTTCCTCGCCTTCCTTGCCCAGAGTATTGGTCTCCAAGACTGGAATGGAAGTAGTGGAGCTGCTCTGGTTGATCGGAGTGAGCATTCCAGAGGTCATTGGTGTCTGGGAACCCGATGCAAAAGAACCGTCCATTTTGGCGTTCTTTGCTTCTGTGGCTTGCAGCTGGTCCTCAAGACAGACTACAGCTTCATCAAATGTGAGGAGGTGTTCTCCATTGTGGCGGTACGCAAATCGCTCGAAGAAGCTGTCAATGGTCGCTTCGTGTAGTGTAGAGCCAAGTGTGTCAAGCATTGTGGTGAGCTCGACCTTATCAAGCAAACCACTCTCATCGGCGTCGTACTGCTTGAGCATGGCTCTCCAAAACTGTTGCCGAAGGGCCTTGTAGGGGAGGTATTTAGCGCGAATGTAAAGTGTTGGGTTGTGCTTGTTCTCCCAACGCTCCTGGTGCTTCAATTCCAGGGGAAGAGTATACATTTTCAGGTCCTCATCGTCCACAGCCGATGGTTGGAGGTTGAGCGTGCTGCCCGGGGTAAGGTTACCGTTGGAGTCGGTAAGGGCACTGGGCGGAGCCCCTGGTGATGGAGGCTGGGTTCCGTTCGCATCTTGTACGGAGAGCGAGCCAGTCGAAGACTCTTTCTTTAGTGATGGCCGGCCCAAACGAGAGAGGCTGTGAGTAGACCCAGAGCGGGACATTGGGATGCGAAAGCGCGACTTTTTTGACCCGCCATCAGGAGAGACGCCAGGGGAATCTGATGGTTCTGGGAGCTTATAGAGGCCCGTCTCTGGGTCTTCTTGGGGAGCTGTGGAAATCGCCTTCTCGAGCGGAAAGTTCACCATGCCGACATAGTCGTTGCCCGAGAACTTATCCTTATCCATGACGGTAAAGCTGACCGAGTAATTGGTCTCGTGGCGCATGACTTGGAAGATGAGCTTTTCGTCGAAAACGGGATTGAGGTCGTGTTTGACCGTTTTGGTACGGTATGTTTTCTTTCCGAGCGATGTGATAACAAAGGGATCCATATCGAATGTGGTTCGTGTCACTGGAAAAAAAATACATCAGTCTGTGAAGGCGCCTAGTAGCATGAAAGACAACTCACCATTGCGCTCCGGTGGCAGATCGGAACATCGCTGGATTTCAAGGAAAAGAACACCAGCCACATCGCCGCTGCTCGAGTAGGCATAGCCAGTCTGGCCCTTGATCTTTCGCTTCAATTTCGCAAGCTTAAGCTTCTTACGCCGCTTCTCCCTCTTCTCAGCTTTCTTGGACTCATCCTGGGCCTCGTCTGAGCTCGAGTCGTCATCTTCCTCTGCGTCGGTGCTGTTGCTGTTGCCGCCCAGGTCTTCGTCATCCTCGTCGGGGCTGGGCGCCTGACCTGCAATGGCAAAGAACTTTTGCAATGTTTGTTCTGGGCTGGCGCTGAGGTTTTGGGGGTCAATGAGGGTGAATTGCATCTGAATCTCGCCCGAGACGACCGACTTCTTCTTGCCGGAGCGGCGGGCCTCGAGGGGAAACCATTGGGGCTCCTGCTGGGTCAGGCCGTTCTGGAAGTGATCCTCGAGTATGACGTCAAACTCGCCCATGTAGTCCTTGCCGAAGCGGTCCTTGTCCCAGCAGACCACCTCGAGCAGGAGGCTCTGCTCGCCGACAATGGGCAGCTCGAGCGTTTCGTTCCATTCTGGATTGAGTTGTTTGTTGATGGCGGGGGTGGTGACTTTGGCGTCGCCAAGGGTGAGGACAAGGTACTGTAAACGCGGTGTTAGCGTGTGTTTGTGTGTTGTGTTGCGTGTACATGTGCACATGTGCTAGACAGCTAGACATGCAGGCGGGGTGAATGGGGGCTCACGGGGTCAGAGGTGCCACTGCGGTCCTTTGCAGCCAGGTCTCTGCCCTTGATGACGTTGACCCTCAACACCAGGCCAGCTGGGGCGGGCTGCTCGGGCATTGGGCGGGTGCGGGGGCTGCTGTTGCGCGAGGCAGGCACTGATGAGGCTGGGGTTTGCGTGTTTGGGGTCGAGGACGAGTTGTAGCAGCTGGTCGGGCGCTTGAGGCGGTGCGGAAGCGAGAGCCTGGTGGTAAATGTAGGACGGGGCATGTTGGCGGCCAGCCTCGGTCTGCCGACTGCACCGCCGCCGGGGCGAGGGGGGGCTGCGTGGCTACGCGTTCAATCAAGGCCCTGGTGATCGGTCCGCGGCAGCCAAGTATTGCTTGATGATGCGCCGCCCGTTGGCAGGACGTTGGCTCACGACATGTGCTACGCGCAATCTGCTCGGCTCAAAAATCGAGGGAAAAAAGGGAGATGGAGATGTTTCTTCTGGCTGGGCGTTTAGGTTTAAGGGGGGAACGGACAAATAGAGAGAGCTTGGGGGCCGCCGCATATCTAGGCCTGTATGTGCACGCACAACAAGAGGGCTGAACGAGGCCAGGCTCCGCAATCTGTCTCTTGCGCCAGCATCGGCTGCGAGGAGCGCCTGCCGGGTCTTGCGGCTACTCCATTCACAGCGACCAAAGACGACGACGGCAACGACGACTATGCCGTCAGCGTCTTCAAATGCCGCACTCCCAAATCCCCATGGCCGCTGTCTTACTCGTCCGGGCCTGGCTGCTTTTAGACAACCCGCCCCCGAGTACCTATCCATATCTACTATACGCGGGCGCCTAAACCATCTACACATGCACATATGCCCGCGTCTGACTACATTACATGTACGTACATGTACCAGAGCCTCTAGCGGGGCACCCTCGGCGCACCCTATCTGCCCACCCATGTATCGACTTACATACATCCATGTGTACGAACGAGTGGGATGCTGCACAGCCCACCCCTCTGCGCTGCACCACCTCGCCCTTCAGCCCGTCCCAGCTGGGGGGCCTCGAGTGCGTCAGTTCTGTTACATACATCTGACTTGTCGCCGATTCGCCATGTTCCTGGCTAATCGGCACGTCTTGCTGGGGGTCTTGGATGAAAAAGCCATAATTTGATGCATGCGTATACATGTGTATCTATCAATGTACATGAATATTAGATTGCTGCCAGATATGCCACACCGGCACCTGCATAGAACGGACCTACATACATACGTAAGTGTTTACTGTATAACAGAGGCCCACCCTAAATTGGCGGCGTTGTCTGGGCACCTCCACATGGCGCTCTGGGCACCCCTGGTTCCGTCCGGCTTACCCGTGGCTGGTGGCTGTGGCTTCTGCCGTGGCTGATGCAAGCCAAGCCCAAACTCTGCGTATCATCAAGCAAGACTTTTTTCCCGCATCTGACGTCGTTTTGTTAGTAGTATAAAACAAATTTTTGTCGTGCTTACCCTGTTCTACTACATGCATGTCTTGTTTTCTAAAAATAAAAGAAATTCCCATGTTCAAAACCTCCTGACATCACACCCATTCCCTTACCCATCTTTTCTCCTCCACACGCGCTACACCTTCCACTTCCTCATCTCGCACCTTCCAAATTAAAAAGAAGAAAAAAACACAAACACACACCCCCTCCCCTCTTTCAAATCACCACACTTCTCCCTCCCCACACAAACCATGAAACCCCTCCCAGACACCCCTCAAACTCTTTCCCCCCCTCGACTTGGCACCGCATCACTACTCCCTCACCCATCCCCCCTACCCCATTCGCAACACACCCCAAAAGGCCCAGCGACCTTAGTCTCATCCCCCCCCCCAGAAAATGCCAACCTAGTCTGACCTAGCTACTTTGCCATCCGGCCCGAATAACCACAGGAAGAGCCCGGTAAGCAAACAAAAAACCAAGACTAACTGGAAGAAAATAGTTAGGGTGGCCTAGGGGGGGGAAGGTTGCTGCATTTCGCCTGTATCCGGCACATCGTTGATCGTCTCCCAGGAATGGAGATTCAAAAAATACGAAGCGGCCGGGAGGAAGGGAACAAGGGAACCCGAGGGGTCGGGTTTTGGGAATCTAACTGTTTTCTTCTTTCTTTTGTGTCATTAGTTAGCTGGTGATTAAATCATGTATGTTGTTGTACATAGAGAATTACGCATACACACTTGGTCAGTTGATTTGTTTTTCTTTTTGATCCTTACCACCCCCCCTTTTTTTTGCTTCTGGAAACCCCATCCCCTCCGCTCCCCCCCTGCATATCGAGCGGAAGATTTGAGATTTCAAACAAGAAAAAAAAAGAAAAACATGGTATCATCAGTGTGGGAATCTGGGTGTCGAGAGATAGAGAGAAGAGAAGGAGAAAAAAAAGAAAACAAGAATCAAAAGAATATAATGATATTACGTTCGCCCCTTCTCTCTGTCTTCCTGGCTATTCTCTCTCTGTGCATTAATTAATATTCGACATACATAAAGATATAAAAAGAAAAATAAAGCTGTTCTCATATACCAGGTTTTTGCTTTCATCATTTCACTACATATCTCACGCACGCTGTGTACATACTTGAAGCGGGGGCGGAACCGGCCAAATCAACAAGAGGAAATAAGTAGCAGCAAGAAAACAAAACGCACTCTCTCTCTCTTCTTCAAACAACGTGGCAAGTAAGTAACAAGGTAGCTACCGGAGAGAGCGAGAGAGGGTTTTAAGAAAAAGGAAAAAAACTGGACGTAGTATTAGGAAATGAGGAAACCCTCCCTCTCTCCCCTCCCCTTCTTTTGGCCGCTGCTACACACACATACACACGCGTCGGCTCGATGATCCCACAGAAATACTTTCTCGGCACCAAAGGGGACGGCGGTTCCAATGCCCAATCTCTCTGTCCAGGAGAAAGATGTTCAAGGGAGAAGAAAAAAAGGAAAAAAAGATAAGAAGAAAAAACCGCTTCGCAGATGGTGAATCCATGGCGTCTCCGGCCCGCCTGCAGGGTATCAAAGAGAGAGCGGTGCGGGCCGAGAGCAAGCCATTTCTCGACAGAAGCGCAAGCATGCAAAGCAAAGTCCACAACGCCTGTAAAAGGACATGAGGCATACAAGCTGTGATACAAGTTCAAGGTGAAAGAGGTTCGTAGACTCAGTCGTTCTCGTGCTTATATCAAGCCGCACAACCGCAGGTTCTCCTGGATTATAATATCTGCAAAAACTATTAGCGTTGTGCCCCCTCAAAACAAAAGTTACGTTACGTACCGTTTACTGCAGCCATGACGAATCGGATTTGCATAGTATCCGTGGCGCAGGTAAAGTGCGTGTAGATTTGCTTCGTCTCATGTTGGTTGAGTGAGACGAATCGGTTGAGAATGTAGTCGCATGCAGCCGCGTAGTCTGGGCCACCCTCGTAGTCGGGGAAGTAGTTCTTCATTGGGCTGACGGGAAGCTTCTCCTTGAAGCGATCAATCTTGTTGAGGAACAGAATGATGGATGTCTTGACAAACCACCGCGAGTTGCAGATGGAGTCGAACAATGTAAGGGCTTCTTGCATACGGTTGACAGTCTCATCTTCAAACAGCAGCTGGTCGTACTCGGAGATGGCGACCAGGAACAGGATGGTGGTGACGTTCTCGAAGCAGTGTATCCACTTCTTACGTTCTGATCGCTGGCCACCGACATCGAACATGCGGTAGGTGAGATCGCCGATAATAAAGGTAGTCTCAGTGATANCAGTCGTCTTGACACGCGAACGGAGGACATCCTGGTCGTTGGGGATGTAGTCGGGCGCGGCAATGCGGTCAATCGAGTCGAAGTAGCTAACATGGTCAGTGGCGATGCACGGGTAAAATGGAGATAGGACTCACTATTTGGCCGAATCGTTGAGCTGGTACTCGCGCGAGCGCTGGAAGCACTGCTGCACGCCAGCATCCTTCCAGAGAACAGAGATGGCGTTTCCAACCTCTGGTGGCAGGCTGTCGCCCTCGATCTGGGCGGGCTGCATGAAGATGGTCTGGACGTGGTATTCGGCGCGCTGGTCGTCGAGCGGGAGCTCGAGCGACTCCATGGCCTCGAGAATGACGCGCATCGACTGGACCGTGTTGCTGAAGATGATCTCCTTGAACGACTCTCGCTCGTCGCGCGAGTAGCCGCCCTCGTGGATGAGCTTCATCTGCTTGAGGATAGTCGACTTTCCAGACTCTCCGGCTCCTATATTGTGTTAGAGCCTGTGTGAGTCGCAGTTGCAGGCGGCGCGCAATACTGACCGAGGAGCAGCATCTTGATCTCATTGCGCTGCATCAGCTTGTCGCGCTTGAGCTGATTCTCAATCTCCTCATTTCTCTGCTTTCCCTCCTTCTCCTCTGTGCTCATTCCGCAGCCCATGGTGGCGGTTAGGGACGGCGTCCGGTGTAGTGATTAGGGTTAAGGTAGGTAGCGATGTTCCGTCGAGGCCGGCCAACACGGAAACCTGGTAGGCAATGTCAACAAAGACTCAATGGGCGGTGGCGGGCGATGCACGAGTGAAGCAGCGCGCAGGCGGGCTTGGCCGGGTGAGGGAGGTGCGATGATGGGTAAGCAAGGCTGTCGCAATGGCAGAGCAACAGCAGCAGCGGCGGCGGCGAGGTCGAGTGCAATGGCGACGGCGAGATTGCGTGTATAAAAAAAAGATGCTCACCTGTTATTACAAAAGACTAGGTCGCAATTGCGAGAGTGCTTGGGCGCGTGGGCGTGTGTGTTGAGATCAAACGGGGAAGGGGTAAAAGACGAAGAGGGTGTCAAGGGATGGCTGGCGTATGGAGGACGAGGCTCGCTTCGCTTCGCTCCGAGGTCTTCAGGGTTGCTGCACGGTCGGTTCGGGGGGGAAGGATCGACTGGGGGGGGTGGTTCTGCAATGGCGAGGCGAGGCGAGGGCTCGGTTGGGCTGGCTGGTTGGGAGAGGACTCAGCAACGACAGCAACAAGCAAATGCGGCGGGAGGTGGCAGGACAACGGGCGGGAGTCGCTCGCTGCAGCAGAGGAATTATTGTGGGAGCCGGCAGGTTGGTGACGACGTTTGGGAGAAGCAAAGAACGAAAGGATTGTATGATGAGGGCTTGAAGAAGGCCGCGAAAGGAGACGCGCTTGCCGGAATGGAGCGGTGCCATCCTGGAAAGGAAGGGCCACCAGAGTCTAGCTGGGCAGGCGCGGGCCACTCTCTGCTGCTGCACCACAGGCACCATGGCAAGACCAGCACGACGGCACCACCGCGCAACCCACCGCAGCCCACAGCCCACAGCCCACACACGCACACAAACCCTCCGACACCTGCCTGTTCGTGTCTGCCGGCCTGGAGCGGCCAACCCTCCTGCTTGCGGCCTAGCTGCTACACCTGCTGTTACTCTTGTTGCCGCTGCCACGGCCTGCCGCTGTCTGTCTCTGTCCATGTCTCCGGCATGTCTCTGCCGTTGTTTTGCTTTCCGTCTCTGCTGCCTCTGCCTCTGCCTCTGCCTCTACCTTCAGCAACAGCACAACAATACAACAACAACAATAACAATAACAAAACCCCCCACGACCAAAGCTCCCGGCCCCTACACTCTACTCACGACACGCTACCCGACCTGCCCACTCCTCTCCGCTTCCAGGAACCCGTCATGGTACCTACTTAGTCGCCCGCCCGCCTACTCTCTCACTGGCTCGCTCATCTTTTCCCCTCTCGCCTCGTCTTCCGCTGGCTCGCCGTAGTAGTAGTCTATCTCTGATTAGCAATCGGCTCCGCGCCTGTCGTGCCCGTTGGACATGGAAGCGCTGTCCACCCATCCAACTCCCGAACTCATCCCGCCCGACTTTTGTCTGGCTACGCTTCTAGAAGGTTTTGTGGAAAATGAAGGCCCCATAGAATTAAGAGTAGCCCGACGCTCGGAGCCCCAGCAGACCCCAAGCACGGCTCGAAACCTTGTCTTACTCCGCCCCATGCAGCCACACGCCTCCACCTCTGCACGCCCCCTCCCCTCTGCCCTGCCTTGCCCTACCTGCATTTGCTGCTGCATATCCACCCATTATATCTTGCCTCCTTGTCCGCCTCCCTATATGCTACTGCGCTTGTGTTCACACAGAAGGAAAAAAAATATTCTGCTGTGCTACTCTTTTCCGCCAGCCACTTGCCGTTCGCTTCCACTAAGCCTGGACCATGCTTTCTATTGGGGCTTGACTATATTAGGCTAGCCCGAAAGGCCGCCTACATTCGCCAAACCTCCGTCGTCACATCCCCCCCTCATCTCCCCGACTCGCGCGCGCCAGAGCCAATCGCCGCTGACGCCTGTCTCTGGTTCTATCAACCACTCTGGTTATCCTAACGGTCAAAGTAAACCATGTTCCGTCGTCATCTTGCCTCAGCGTCGGGTGCAGGTGGCAATTGCCTTGCCTCGAGGGCGCTGATCAGCTCCTGTGAACGCGTAACGCTACTGACCGTTCGATTGACCTTTGCTGCATCTCGAACCCATTCTCGATCCCCTAGGCCCCCCAACAACCTACCACCCAGGCCCTTCCATTTCTTCGCCAGGATAATGCATTCAGAGCCACGGCTTTGGTGTCGATATCTTGACTCGAACACGCGGGACGATCCACGAACCACACGTGGAAGCCATGGCCATGCGTGAGCATTCGGTGAAAAAAAGGGGGCATGGTATCGACCCAACAGACACTCTACCTTCGTGACAACGCTCACGCTGGTGCTTTTAGCTTTTGTCACCGCCCTCTTGTTGGTAATCGCTCCAGATTGCTCACGATCGATCGCCCGTGCTTCTCATTGCGTGCGTGCAGAGCACCTCAGAGTCATTTTGAGCTGATCATCATCTTGACGATGCTCATACACGCGCATAGACTTTTTCAATTGCCGTCTTATCGTAGGTGTGGGTGTAAGTACTACATAAGTATACACTGCATATGTGAGGTTCTTCAGTTTCGGTCCTTCCACACCGTTCAAGCTCCACAAGCTACGCAACATCGCAGTCCCAACTGCGTCATTCTGACTCGTCAAGTTCTTATGTCCACAACATCGGACCGTCTCGTCTGCGGACCTTCTCGTACACTACCATGGCCGCGATCTCATTATCCGCTTGTCGTTCGGGGATCGTTGCATCTGATCTGCACACCCGCAGGCAACTCTAGCCGCCAGGCACCATCGCCAAGCACGTGATGTCGATTGAACTGGAGTGGTTTTAGTAGGGCGCTTTGCAGCTTCCGCCCATTCCCCGATGCAGGTCCATGTTTAGTTCGGTATCAGGTATCCAGCATCCAAAAAAGCTACAATCAATTACTACACTGTTCAATCCAGATGCATGTAGTCAGGTGACGTTGCAACCATTGACAACGCAGACGCACCGTCAGTCGAGTATCGCATCATATGGACCAACTGCGGCCGTGTGCTGGTACGCAGAGTCCCGCATTGTCACGAATAATGCGCAACTGCAATGTATTTTCGTCTCCTGCATGCACGTAGGCCAAGACTCGCCTTGGGGTTCTGCGCAACGACTTTCCCGATGCCGTGCAACTACTGGCTGACGTGGTAGACTAGTTTTGTTCCTCAGCGCTTAGCGCAGCATGCCAGCGCCTAGAATAGCATCTTCGCCTCACCACACTGTGTAACCGACGCCTTTTCAGTCAATCATTCTGTATTCAATCCGTGAGCGCTTACCATGGGTGTCAACGGCCTCGGTATGCCCCCAATGTACCGTATCAGCGGTTGCTCAGGCACCGCCCCGACACGGCGCCTGGCAAACATGCCAGTACATATTGGCAGCCTACCAGCCGCCGCTGGCTTGACTTGGATACTTCAACAAAACTCCATGAAGCTAAAGACGTTTTACGAATTTCCTTGAGTCTTTCTCCTTCAATTTCCTTGTCTCCTTTCGCTGCAGGTCCAGCGCTTCCTTGCATCTGCCCTCATGTCTAGATCTCCTAGTGAGTACACTCTTTGACTTGCTCCGATCTGAGAGCATGTAGCTTATGTCCGCGCAGATCTCGTACATTATGCTTCTGCGCCATTTCAAAAGGCCATGGATACCATCAGTCTTTTTAATATTAGCTTCGCCGTTGCTGGCAGCTCCTACTGTCACTCCTACACCACAAGCACTTCCTCAATCGCTTCAAGAAAATGTACCATCTTGTGCACAATCATGCCTACGGACTTCGCTGGACGAAAGGTTTCCTGTGGCATGCTCTGGCCAACAAAGTCTTCAGTGTCTCTGCTCTCGTTATAGTACCGCGGGAGAGTCACTCGGTGAAGTGGCTCTAGGTTGTATCTACTTGTCGTGCCCAACACAGGACTCCAAAGATTATCTAAGTGCGGCCTACGGGATATGTCTAGGACAGGCATACGCCGTCGTGCCAACCAAAAGTGCTCTTACTTATGTCGTGACCTCTACGGCATCGCCATCTTCCACGCGGTTGGTGACGACTCCAATCACAACCACGGCCCCGACCATCACTTCGGCTCGGCTTACCCAGACCAGTTCGACTCAGTCTGCTTTCGCTGATACTGCCTCCCTAATGTCATCGTCTACTTCTTCAGCGACGCCCACATCGGCTCCAGTCGCCAAAGCTGCAGATGACAAACCCAGAATGACGCCTGCACAGATTGCTGGGCTGTCAGTTGCTGCAGTGGCAGCGTTTGTCTTGGCTATCGGGCTCATGGCCTTGAGCGTGTGGCTAAGAAGACGGAAGGAGCAGCGAAACACTATGCTTATCGATGACAAGGGCCGGGGACAGCAGGACAAGGTGTTTTCGACACGGTTCTCGCATTACGTTCCTGTACAAGGCAACTCTGACTCTGCAACGCAACTTCCACCCATACCTGCACCGGCACTCGTTCAGGGGAGACGCCAGAAAGGAGTTCGCCCAGTGCAGCGGCTTGGAGTAGGAACTTCCAACAGCTCATCCAACTCTTCATTGCCATTGGATCAAATAGGCGTGGCTATAAGCGCAGAGCTGGATGGAAATCCTCTAGCTCCAAAGAAACCAGCACCGGCTGCGATCCAAAAGACAATTCCGGGTAATAACCAGCCACAGGCCAGCAACGTCATACGCCCCATCAGTTCAATGACAGAAGAGACTGTTTTTGAAGAGGATGAACCAGGCTCGCATCGCAGATCCTCGATGATGCCGCCAACGCCTCAAGTTCCAGTCCTACCTATCCGCTCATTGCAACCCGCTAGGACAGCACCGTATCCCAACAACAGCAACGCTCGTAGGAATAGCCGAAACTCTGAGTTGTTTCTAGAAATTCCGCCCAACAAGGGCGGACAGCAATCGAAACGGATGGTTGTTGCAGAACTGCCTGGGAACAGTGCGCCACAACCTCGTCCGCAGCCCGCGACACGCCCACGTCTCGCATCGCCTTTCCAGCAGCCATCCACAGCTACGTCATATCAGTCCAAAGCTACAACCGCAAGCTCGCGCGAAGACAGCACCTCAGGAGATATCATTGACTATTACTTTTCCAATCATCGAAGCCGTGAGGCGCCTAAGGCTAGCCCTACGCGCATTATTCGGCCTAAAGAGTCACCCAAAACAGTCGAGATCAGGCCAAAGAAGTCGTCTAGTACGCTTTCTCGGACTTGGACGAACCAGCGTGATTCGTTGTCTAGCCAGACGTCTTTTGAAACAGTCGATGCCAACGATCCGACGCCTGAAGACGAAGACGACCAGAAACAGCTTTCCGACGACAGCAATGTACCGCAACTGTCACCGGTCGCGGAATCTCCAATTTCCAACTTACGGTATCCAAAGGTGCCGCGAGCCTCGAATCAACTAGTATCACGGAGCCCACAACAACACAGGTACCAGAGTCCACACCGGGTCCCGAGTGCATCGTCGCTTCTTCATAAACGCAACAACACTCTTCCCCCGCTTCTTCTTGAATCGCGGCCCCGACTTGAGAGCCCACATCGTGACCCGTTCACATCGCCGCCCCGCCGTGTCGTCAGCCCACCTCGTAACAACGGCCGCTCTCATGTGCGTAGCATCAGCGCCGAGTCATGGAACATGACACCCGCCTCTAAGAATAGCATTGATAGAAAAAGCCGTGTGCAGAGCGGGGCGTGGGGTAAGAGCCCGGTCATGTACGAGGAACAGGCTGTGAGGCCGCTAAATGTGAGGAGGAAAAGAGAGGATATGACGGAAGTGAATATTGGAAGAGACGTCAATGTTGACTTTGACGTAGACGGACTTAAGAGTCCTATCTGGGTTCCAAGACTGACACCGAGGAAGAAGGGTGAAGACCTGTTTCTAGAGGTTGGGTGGGGAGATGGTGTGCGAAGGTGAGAAGTCCAGCATACACGGAGCGGGCGATTGAGTTGATTCTTGACTATACATATACCCTTTCGTTTGTCTTGTGTATAAAATTTTCTAATTTGGAAGGGGGGGAATGGGGGGCGGAGACTGAACTTGAGACCTGACTGTACTTTTCTTAGCGTTATTTTTTACATGTTTACTCATTATCTCTTGTTCCATTTGCACACAGGCGCGCGTGTCGCTATAGATGGATCGATTGGTGCTTGGCGCGCAGGCTCTGGTTGGTGGTTATCAGGGTATTAACAGGGTAAAATGGGCTCCGAGTCCCGCTTAGGGCTAATTACAATATCAACACCAAACCCCACGTTGTCACAGTCGTTGACTGCGCCCTCGGAGAATAGGTTAAATAACCGGCTCTAGTCCAGACGAGGGTCACTCCGTAGAGGAGACTTTGAGCCTCAAACAGCGCTTCGGCCGCGGCGCCGATCTCGGTTGTGTGTCGGCCATAGGCGCCCGGAAGAATTACTTTGTGGTTTGTTGTCGGCTTTTGCTCTGGCCGGTTGGCTCAGGGAAGACGATGAAACTGGCAATAGAGAAGAAAAAAAATCTAATGGCCGTGGCGGTCGGCGCACTGTGACCCGAATACGGTGCTTCTCGGCGCGTGGCGAAAGAGAGAGAAGCAAAGGACAGAGCAGGCAAGAGGTTAGTAAGAGACAGTCAGTGGGCCGGACTGGCAATTAGGGTGTCCTGGTCAGCGCAATTGCGGCTTACTCTATCTGCTTGCATTGACAAGAGAGAGTGGGCTGTGGGTGGGACTGATTGATGTAATCAGGCTGGCTCAAAAGGACCCCACCTACATGTCCACTTTTGGTGCATCATATCTGAGGCAGGCATGACGGCCTTAGCACCCACCCCCACTACCTACAAAACCTAAACACCGTAGCTCGCTGTCTTCCGCGATCTTCTTTCTTTTCTCTTCCAATCCGTTTTTCATCCACAGTCTGCCCATCATGCCGTACGGAAAGACTGATGAGCTTGCCATCAACACCATCCGAACCCTAGCGGTACGTCTCTCTTGCCTCTTGTTCTCCCTCCCCCGCTATGCTTGCGCAGCTGCCCCGCTCGCGGCAAGCTTCTCTTCCGCCCAGCAAGCAAGCTAGCATTGCAAGCACCGATCATGAATTACACGCTGCAGAACGACTCAATGGCTGACTTTTTGTCTCTTTATAGGTCGATGCCACATTCCAGGCCAACTCGGGTCACCCGGGTGCGCCCATGGGCATGGCCCCAGTGGCCCACGTCTTGTTCAACAAGTTCATGACGTTCAACCCCAAGAACCCCCACTGGGTCAACCGCGACCGCTTTGTTCTTTCGTACGTATTCTTCTGCTTTTTTTTTCAATTTCCAGTGGCATCCGCCCTCTACATTGCGGGCAATGTAGCTAACTTGAGCGCAGCAACGGTCACGGATGCATGCTTCAATATGCGCTCATCCACCTTTTCGGCTACGATGTCAGCATTGAGGACCTGAAGAAGTTCCGTGTAAGTAAATACATTTTTTTTACGCAAAGGGCAAATTCTAACTCGTCGCAGCAAATCGACAGCATCACACCCGGCCACCCCGAGTCTCATGACACCCCCGGTATTGAAGTCACCACTGGCCCTCTCGGTCAGGGTTTCGCCAATGCCGTCGGTCTCGCCATTGCCGAGAAGCACACCGCAGCCGTCTTCAACAAGCCCGGCTACGAGCTGATCAACAACTCCGTATTCGTCTTCTTCGGTGACGGCTGCGCTATGGAGGGTATTGCCAGCGAGGCTGCTTCAATGGCTGGCCACTTGAAGCTCGGCAACCTCATTGCCATCTATGACGACAACCACATCTCCATTGGTAAGTTTCTGGCAAATTCGGCAAATAGCGACTTGGACCTAACTTTTTTGCAGACGGTGACATCAAGTGCGCATTCACTGAGGATGTCTCCAAGCGCTTCGAGGCGTACGGCTGGCACGTCCAGCACGTCCCCGACGGTGACACTGACCTCGAGGGCATCGAGAAGGCTATTGCTGAGGCCAAGAAGGTCACCGACAAGCCCTCGATGATCAAGCTCACCACCACCATCGGTTTCGGTTCCGTTCTCCAGGGTACCGGCGGCGTCCACGGCAACCCCCTCAAGGCCGACGACTGCAAGCAGGTCAAGGAGAAGTTCGGCTTCGACCCTGAGAAGATGTTCCAGGTCCCCCAGGAGGTCTACGACATGTACCACAAGCACGCAGCCGAGGGTGCTGCTGCTGAGGAGGAGTGGAACAAGCTCTTCCAGAAGTACGGCGAGGAGCACAAGGAGCTTCACGCTGACCTTACTCGCCGTCTAACTCGCGACCTTCCTGAGGGCTGGCAAAAGGCCCTTCCCACATACAAGCCTAGCGACCCTGCGATTGCCTCAAGAAAGCTCTCCGAGTCTGTTCTGGAGGCCATCCACGACGTTGTTCCCGAGCTTCTCTCCGGTTCTGCCGATCTGACTGGCTCCAACAACACAAGGTGGAAGAAGGCCATCGACTTCCAGCCCCCGGATCTCGGCATTGGTGAGTGGTCTGGCCGATACCTGCGATATGGTGTCCGTGAGCACGCCATGGCTGCTGTCATGAACGGATTGTCCGCATACGGAACTATCATCCCCGCTGGTGGTACTTTCCTCAACTTCGTTTCATACGCTGCCGGTGCCGCCCGTCTGTCTTCGCTTTCACACCAGCGTGTCATCTATGTTGCTACCCACGACTCGATCGGTCTTGGTGAGGACGGTCCTACCCACCAGCCTATTGAGACTCTTGCCCACTTCCGTGCTCTGCCCAACATGATGGTGTGGCGCCCAGCCGACGGAAACGAGTGCTCTGCTGCTTACTACATGGCGCTCACTTCCAAGGGCACGCCATCCATCCTTGCCCTTACTCGTCAGAACCTGCCCCAGCTTGAAGGCTCAACACTCGAGAAGGCCATCAAGGGAGGATACGTTGCTCTCGAGGACAAGGACGCCCAGATTACCCTCGTTTCCACTGGTTCCGAGGTTTCTCTCTGCCTTGAGGCCGTCAAGACCCTCAAGGAGCAGGGCATCACTGCCCGTGTTGCTTCGCTTCCTTGCTTCGAGGTCTTTGACGCTCAAGATAAGGACTACAAGCTGTCGGTCATCCCCGGCGGCATCCCATCGCTCAGTGTTGAGGTCATGTCCACCATGGGCTGGGAGAAGTACTCTCACGAGCAGTTTGGTCTGAACCGCTTCGGTGCTTCTGGACCATACAAGGAGGTCTACAAGGTAAGAATCATTGAATACTTGAAATGCTTGAGACAAATGCTAATGCCCATTACAGAAGTTTGAGTTTACCCCCGAGGGTATTGCTAAGCGTGCCAAGGCCACCATTGACTTCTACAAGGAGGTCAAGCCTCTGCGATCTCCTCTTGACCGCGCTTTCCAGCAGCTTATCTAAGTGTTTGGTAGCGTAGGATTAGTTCTGGGGGCAGAGGAATCGAGCATAGCCTTGTGATGAGTGACGAAATTAATAAGCGGCAGCCCGCTTGAAGAAAGATATCAACCAATGTATAGAATTTGATTCATTTGACAAATGTTTTTGTGTGTAGAGTTGACTTGTATGCGATTGTTGTGATGAATTTGGCCCATTTTCCCTGCATGACGCAAAGGTGCCTGATGGTGATGATCGGCGGGCGTTGTCCTCGGCTCCGGCGCCGCATGGTCAACTTTTTGCGACATCATTGCCGCCATCACCACACACGGCTAGCATGTCGCGGTCCGGCAGAAGCAATGTTGCTGCTGCGAGTAGTAGGGAATCGCCATCGTCGGGTGGCATCTTTTCAGTCCCTGCACCGATAAAGCAACTTTTCGACCAATTCCCGCTCCTCACATACCCCGTCAACGAGTTCCCGCAGCGAGCACCACAACACCATAATGCACACGTGCTGTACGTCTTCACTACAGAGGAGGGTGCTCGGCGAGGGGCACCATCCTATAATCCAGCGTGCCTGAAATGGCAGGTCAGTACCTGGTTGCGCATTCATTACCCCACCACAGGCTCACCATGTCGCAGGCATATCTCAAGTTCTCCAAGATACCGTTCCGAATAGCCTCAGCGAACAACCATGCGTCTCCAAGTGGCTCTCTACCATTCGTCATTCCCTCCTCGGATTCAATCAAGCCATCACAACCTGTACCGTCGAATAAGCTGCAGCGCTGGGCAATGAACAATAGCGACAAGGCAATTGAAGAGCCAGGAGATGCGCGATACGAGGCATACTTGAGTCTGATAGACCACCGCATACGCAGAGCCTGGGTACGTCTGGCTTAGAAAGGAATATTTGGGCTACGACTAACATATGCTAGCTGTACGCTGTGTATCTCTCCCAGAATTCCACCACCATTGCCGAGCCTCTGTATATCCTACCGACCTCGCGCAACTCGTTTGTACGTCTCGCAATATCCCGCGAACTGCGCTCAGCCGCCGAAGCCGAACTCGCCAAATTCTCCAGCATCATCAGCGACGAGACGTTGTATAACCAGGCAAGCGAGGCTTTTGCTGCATTGGAAACGCTGCTGGGAAAGGACGATTGGTTCTTTGGAGCGCAGAGACCGGGCTTGTTTGATGCGAGTGTTTTTGCATACACACATTTGCTGTTGGATGATAAGCTGGGCAAGGGATGGGTGGACACGCGGTTGCGCGACGCGTTGATGGCATGTAAACACCTGGTCACGCATCGAGAGCGGATTTTGGCAAAGTATTTTGAGAAGTCTGGATAGACTCGAGGGATTGTATGTACGCTTTACGACCTGTAATATTAACAACTAGATGTGAATACCATGCAGGACACTGCTGATACGTGTGTGGATTGTCTGGACTCTATCTTGGAACAATGGATTGTGATTAGATGAAAGGCAAGCAGATGGCTAATGTTCTTTAGTGCGAGCCAGAACACGGCAGAGGGCGCAGATGTGAGTCATGTCACGGGGGCCTGCACGACATATTTCCCGATTAGGCAATTCTGAATACAAGTTCAGCATGGGGAGGGCGTGGAGAAGATTCATTGGCTAAGGGACCACAACTATATAGATGGTGTCAGGCACCCATCCAGCACGATAAGAACGACAACAAAGCAATTCAAGCTCTTTCTCTTCCAATTTACCTATACTCAGATTGAGAAAAATGACACAACCAACGACTATTGACATGACATTCGACACTTCTCTTGTGGATGTCAAACCACCCACCATTGACGCAAACACATCTTTTTCAACTGTCGAATCAGATCAAGCAAATACATCTACTATCCAGCCACGACCCCAAGTACCAATCCACCACATACCCACGCAAGACGCATACAACCAATGGGCCTCCCAATATGACTCGGACGGCAACATGCTCCAAGCCATCGACGACATCGAACTAGCCGCCTTCCTGCCCACCTTCCTCTCCCAAATCCCCAATCCCAACCCCTCAACTTCCTCCTCCTCCTCAGAAAGCCCCCTCCGCATCCTCGACCTCGGCTGCGGCACCGGCCGCAACACACTCAAACTCTTACGCCACTTCACCCAAACCCCTGCTCCCTCCCAATCTCGCACTAAGATCATCGGCATCGACTTCTCACCCGCCATGCTCACCATCGCCCACTCAAAACTCTCCCCTTATCCCCCGGAAACCTGGGACTTACACTGCTGTGACATCTTCTCCTCCCCCCCTTCCTCCTTGCCCATCCCCGCCGTCCACGCCATCCTCTCCACCCTCGTCCTCGAACACATTCCCCTCTCAAATTTCTTCTCTACCCTCTCTTCCTTACTCTTACCCTCTGGTGTAGCGCTGATTACCAATATGCACCATGAAATGGGGAGGTTGGGTGGGCAGGCGGGGTTCGTGAGTCAGCAAGGGGTTAAGGTTAGGGGAAGGAGTTTTTTGCATAAGGTTGATGAGGTGCTGGAGAAGGCGGCGGAGAGTGGGTTTGAGGTCCTGGGGGTTAGGGAGAGGGAGGTTAGGAGGGGGGATTTGGATGGGGGAGTTGTGGGGGGAAGGGGGGAGAAGTGGGTTGGGGTTAGGGTTTGGATGGGGGTTTTGGTGAGGAGGGTTGGATGAGTGTGTGGGAGGTGGAGGGGAAGGAAGAGTTGTGGGGTTTGGGTTGATAGAGAATGAGTGGTTGGTTTGGGGAGGTAGATGGTGTAGTTTTGATATTTTAGGAGCTTTCTTTAACACCGGCTTTCAAGTTTCTATTCTTTAGTTATGTTGGTATAACAAACTCAATGGAAGAATACATTGTATAACTTTCAGCTCTCCATACTAAGATGAGATATAATTGATTGCTCCCCTATGCTGAAACTCAGATCGTATGCCTTTACACATGAGAATCCAAAATAGTGAGCTCATGAAGCAGCGACCATACCTTACAAAAACAAGCAAACAACCATGCAATAAGAACCCTCAACTACCATTCCTGTCTCAAAAAAAACATGCGACTACTGAATACATCCATCATGCAATGAATCCATCCCTGACCCAAATCAAAAGTCATCATGACGTCAATCGCTACATCACACAGTAAAATACTCCTACTACTTTACGGATTTCTCCACAACAAACAGCCTGAAAGTCTCAATCAACAAAAAAGCCCACAATCACTTCATCAGAAGCGAACTCCCAACACGACAGTACCATGGACGCACTCCCCGTAAACAACAAAACAGCCGGCGAAGCAGAAAGCACGTATAATAAAACACTCGAAACAGGTGCTGGAGCGACTCAGGTAAGTTTTGTAGTCTCTCCCAAAAAAAAAAGATAGTTATCTGAGTACAACACTTCATGACTGATTATTTTCGCATAGAATTTTGCGCCTGTAAAGCGCGTCTGCGCCCATCTTAATGCGTTCCACGCGTATGCCGACGATCCCAAGCGTGCTGCCGTGGAGGCAAATCACTACTGTGCGCATGTCAATGAAGAAGTGCGGCAGTGTATTCTTTACGACTCGGCTGAGGCAGGGGCTCGTATTATTGGTATTGGTGCGTTACATCCGCCTCCCCCCCCTACGCCCATTCCCTTTTCTCTACTTGAAAGGAAGTAAATAGTACCGTACTGACTAGGCCAAACTCAGAATACATGATTTCGCCCAAACTCTACGACACCCTTCCGGCCTCGGAGCAGAAACTCTGGCACTCGCACGTCTTTGAAGTGAAATCCGGTATGCTAATCATGCCGCGCCCCTCGTCCATCCCGGAAGCCGCCTGGGAACTAGCCGAGAACCGGGAGATGGAAGAAGTGATCCAACTGTACGGCAAGATCTACCACTTATGGCAGACGGATCGAGGCGATAAGTTGCCCTTGGGTCCCCCGCAGCTTATGACGAGTTATACGGCCGAAGACCAGATGCCGGATTTTGAGGAGAGGATGAAGGAGAGGGATCAGAGGTTTGAGAGTGATTATACGAGGAAGAGGGGGGTCAGGGAGTATATCGAGGTGCCGCAGATTCATGAGAATGCGGATGCGACGTGGGCGAAGGGCGGGATGGGACATTGAGTGGTGGCGATGTCGCGGTTACGGTTTTGGGGGGAAATTTAGCGCGAGCGTCGGATTTGGTACGCCGGGGAATTGTAGCATTGGGGGGTTATCAATGTTTCCCTCGCCTCCTCGTTAGGGACACGATTGTCAGGTGGTTATTTCTTTGAGATGTTTGTCCCCCAAACGGAAAACCTCGGATCTAAAACGTGGATTCGTCGCATCATGAGCCGGTCGTGTTTGGAAGAACCTCGATTTTGGCCGGGTCGGGTTTTTCTCGTCGCCCCAGTAGTTTTCCCAAGACATCCTTTTCTTTGTTACCGTCTTCTTCGTCGGCGTCACTCGTGTCTTCGGTGTCGCTCTCCGCTGCGTTTGGATCTTTTTCTTCCAGCACGCCGAGTCCGAGATCCTAGGTCGTTTGGTTAGCAAAAAACTTGGGACTTGTCTTTGCCATTTTAATTTTTTTTTTTACCAAACAGGCACAACACTCACCATTTCAATGTACGGCTCGCCTTCTTCCTGGTCCTCGGCATCCAGTCTCCTCAATGTACCCGCCCGCTTCTGTGCCTCGAGCTCTTCGTTTGCGGCCTTGAGGCGCGGCAGGAAGTCCTTGAGAAAACCTCTGATGTCAGGTCCCATTTCGGCCTTTGTCAGCTTCATGATGGGTTTTGTGCCTCTGTTTGCGCGGAGGTTGACGACGCCGTCTGCGCCCTTTGCTTCGTCTAGCTCCATTTGTGTGTCTTCGCCGTCGTCATCTTCGTCTTCTTCTTCCTCGCTTGAGCTCTCGTCGCTGCTGGGCTCTTCGCTGGATTCAGAGAGTGTGCTATCTGTATCTGAAGTACCATAGTCGCTTGCGTTTGTCGCCGTACCGTCTGTAGCGTTTGTTGATGCAAGCGCGGATTGCGACGACATGGACGGCGAGGAGCTGGGCTTCGTGCGATGCGGAACTGAGTCGTGCGTGTACTGTGCCATGGCTTTCTTCGGCGGTATTAATCAAACAGGGTCGTCACCTTGGCGAATGTGAGAGGGAGGGGCTATACGAAGGGGAAAGGTAACACGGGTGTGATGTTTAATACAGAGTGGACGGCTTAAAAAAAGTTGTGCAAAAGTTCGGGCGCGCGCCGCTGGACCATTCTTTTGCGGAACGGGTGCGCCGAACGTGCGCAAAAAGATAGACCGGCGGCAGGATTGCTACGTCACCCCCGCCCGCCCGCCTCGCCTCGCCAGCCCTAGCTAGCATCCTTTAATCGGACAAAGATCAGCATTACATATTTACTTCTGAGGGGGAACTGCCTGCAGTCGGTATGATCCGAATGCATGTCGGATGGAGGTGCATACCGACGCCGGCCGTGTGGCTTGTTGCGTTGTACGTTGGCCTGAGGCCTCAGGTCCATTCCCATTGGTGTCAGCAGGGGTCTTGAAACGGGGTCTTGAAACGTAGTCAGAGCGGGCGTCTGCATGGCTGACCTTCTCTCTCCGATCGAGCCTCTTTAAAGGGTCCCCTATCTTGCCTTACAACATATTCACTTCTTCCAACGTCTTCTCCGCCAGTCCTTTGTTTTCTCTGTCTGCCAAGCCTTTGTTGCTGCTGAACACCTCTTCACGTGCGAGTAAACTGTCGGTGTGAACGCAATTGCCCCTCTTTCAGCTGGTCGACGAGCATTACCATCGGGGTGTCAACATATTGCTGTTAGGTTACAAGAGAAACGTGCGGACTAGTGTTAGGTATGTTTTAAGTTTCCTGTCATTCTTCTAGTCGACCACTCAATCCCCTTCAATTCGCTGGCTCCTCTGGCTATTTGTCTGTCGGGCGTGCTTGGCGGAAGCCTGGTGTAAGGACTTTCGTCCCGACAGCCTTGAGATGTCTGATATCAGTCATATATCTTCCTCAGCCATGGTTTCACCATGGATTCCTTGTACGTGTAAACACCTACATTTTCGGGTTATCTTCATGTGCTGTCCAACGACATGTCCGCACCACTACCGTTTCAGGCTTTGCAGCGTTTAGATGCCTAGGCGAAGATGTAAGAGCTTTGCAATTGCTCACCCTCAAACATCTTTCTGCCTTCAAACCCAGCAAACAGTCCCAGATCTGCCTCGCATTTCAAGTCCCGGATATTCCCAACCTCGGCCATGTTTCACAGCACATCTCATGTCTATTCGTTTTGTCACGATTTATCTTTGCTACTTAAATGCTGACTCTGCACAGATTAGGATTCCTGCTCGCTACCACATTTCAGTGTCTCTTCTCTGGAAAGTCTCTACGCCACCAAGCACAGTGTACCTTAGCCAACAAGGTCACGTAAGAGTCCAAGATTGATTTTTGATCACACATCGGCATTTAAAGAGGAATCCCCTTGAGCCTACGTCGTTCCGTCACTTAATTTATTCAACAATCATTCATCATGGCTGGCCGATTCCCCGCGCTCAGCACTTCCAACCTCCCCGCTGCATCTTCTGAAGAGCAGGCAGCAACCGCATCACCCGCACGTGGAACCGCAATGCTCAACAACATCTTCAAATCGGTGCGTGTTCCCGAATTCCGCTTCAAGTGGATGTTCTGGGCCGAAAAGGGACAGCAAGCACCGCCCAAGGACAAGGCGACGGCATCGGAAGAATATCTCACACGCCCCAAGCCCCTGGGTGATCAAATTGTGTCGGTCAAGGAGTTTTACCAGCACTTCAACAACATTCCGGTTGAGAACCTCAAACTGCGCGACTCGATACATCTCTTTCACTTGGGCGTCAAGCCAGTATGGGAGGACCCACGAAATACGCGTGGAGGAGCATGGTACTTTAAAGTCAGCAAGGACCTTGCAGCGCAATTCTGGCACGAAATGTGTCTGCTCGCTGTAGGTGATGTGTTGCAAGGGGCCGTTGAAACGAAGCGAGCTTGTAAGTTCTATTTCCAGCCATCTTTCGTCATTATAAACTTTACTGACCATGCCAAGCTTTTAATGATGACATTTGTGGCATTTCATACAGCGTTCGTTGGAACGCGGTCCAGATTGCTGTATGGAACCGCGACGCAGAGAACGAGGAAGGCCGCCAGAAGCTACTGGCGGTTATTCTCGACAAGCTCTCTGAGGAGCTACGGCCGAAGAAGGAGGATAGCTACTGGTACAAGGCGCACAAGGAGCACAAGGGCTTCATTGAGCAGCAGTGAGCGGATTGTGTACAGGCTATGGATGATGGTAGAGCATTCTTGAATTAGCATGAGATAGGCTCAAGCGACCTTGGATTGTTGCATACTTGCATAAGATAATCGGCGTTTTCGAATACATCACTTTGAAGTCGTTTTGGGTGCACCCGTGCTATAATATCGAGTGCCTCCAGTCTGACTTGCAACCCCGCCTTTCAACTTTGCCATGCGCTGCGGATTCTCGGAATCAGTTGTGGAATACGATGAACTCACACAAACAGCTTAACAACAGGTTTGTAATGCCTTAAAATGCCAATCTGAATTCCCCATCCGATCCAGACTATCCGTCAGGCAACGGTCATGGTGCGCCAATCATGAGCATGGTTCGCCGCAAAGCACGGGCCACATGTAGAAGCATCATCCACTTCTCATAATCCTCCGCACTCGAACCATTGCCGCCTCCCACCATCCAGTCGTCCCCCCTCTCAACCGCCCAACATGGCCGCGATTCCCACGTCTCTCTTTCGCTGGGTTGTTCCCGCCGCCATTGGTGCCAGCGTGGTACAATCCTCCATCTACGATGTCAAGGGCGGTACCCGCGCAATCATCTTCGACCGTCTGTCGGGAGTCAAGGAGACTGTCGTCAACGAGGGCACACATTTCCTGATTCCATGGCTGCAGCGGGCCGTCGTGTTCGATGTTCGGACTAAGCCGAGGAACATCAGCACGACGACGGGAAGCAAGGACTTGCAGATGGTTACCTTGACACTGAGGGTGTTGCACCGACCGGAGGTTAAGCAACTGCCTAAAATCTACCAGGTAAGGATGCAACCACGAAAGAAATACCATGGCTTGTTGAAAGCAGGTGTTTGGGGGATTAAAGATGTTGACAGATTATTAGAACCTCGGTCTTGACTACGACGAGAGGGTCCTTCCCTCTATCGGAAACGAAGTCCTCAAAGCCATTGTCGCCCAATTCGACGCTGCAGAACTCATTACGCAGCGAGAGGCCGTGTCGAACCGCATTCGCGCCGATCTACTGAAGCGCGCCAACGAGTTCAACATTGCGCTCGAAGACGTCTCCATCACACACATGACGTTTGGCAAGGAATTCACCAAGGCGGTTGAGGAGAAGCAAATCGCACAGCAAGAAGCGGAGCGCGCGCGATTCATTGTAGAAAAGGCAGAGCAGGAAAGACAGGCCAATGTTATTCGCGCAGAGGGTGAGGCTGAGGCGGCGGACACGATTAGCAAGGCGGTGGCAAAGAGTGGTGATGGCCTTGTTCTGATCAGGCGGCTGGAATCTCAAAAGGACATTGCACAGATTCTGGCAAGAAACCCGAACATCAGCTACCTGCCTGGCGGGGCTGCTGGCAATGGTGGTGGGTCAAGCGGCGGCAGCTTCCTGTTGGGCCTGAGGTCGTAGATGGGACGAATGCAGATGAATGACGACGGGGGGGTGTGTGTGGAAAATGCCTTAGCCGGTGTAGCACCGGCGTATGGCTGCTGTACAATATACTAACCACGGGCATGATAACACTTCTCTACCAAATGTGAATAGCGGTCTCCTCTGTGTTTCGCCTTTCTATTCTTGTGTCCTTGTAGCCTGGTAACAGAAAGACAAATCGTAATCGCCTATCGCTCCAGAGGCGCATGTCAAAGTTGTCGCTCTTGCCAAAATTGACGTTTTCCAAATTATCGTTTTCCAAGTCAAACGCTTGTCTCTATGTCTTCTTTTTGATAGACATGATGGGTGCTAGGTGAGAGACAAGGGCGTCAGAAAAGTCTAAACCCGTCACGGAAAGAGGTTTTTTCCTGCAACAAGTTTGACGCAGTCAAGAACCACACCAGTCGGTCAAGTATTACAAAAGAAGAAGAA